TCTCCATCATTCCTTGGGCTGCACTGTTTTATATACACAGTTCTGTACAATACAATCATATTCCTACCGTTGTTTTTGGTTACAATAGTTAATTAACAAGTATCGAGGTCCAATAATCGTGTCTGGTTTTCGTTCAAGTTAACCGTGACCCAAAATACCTACACTAAAATAAATCGTAATCCAAAAAATAAGTTTCGGTAAAGAAGTAAATTATATCAGAATGTGAAAATAAAGAAAGAAAGCATAGTACAGCCATAGTGATGTATCCTTTTTCAACCGACTTTAAAAAGGAAGTTTCTCAATTCGGCTGTATTTTTTAATTTTTTTTTTACTTTTGTTACCTCAGAACTCCGTTATTTATTAACCGATTTGAACAATTTTTGCTTTGTTAGAAAATGTATACTTCCTACTTGGTCCCATTTAAATTAAAAAAAAAACTACCCCTAAGGGTGAAAAAATAGCTAATTTAATCTACTTCTAATTGTCATATTGACCTGAAACTTTGCTAGTGTTTTTATTCCCGTTGATAGTGCAATAGTTCGGTATTGTCGACCTGATCTGATGGTAAGGTCAGAATTTGAATAGGCGGATCTCTTCAACGGCTAATAGTAGATACTTTGAGTTTGGGCTTATTTTGTTTGATTTTACGAGCTAAATACGTTAGAATTGGATTTTAGAGCCTGATTTTTTAGTGTTACTAATAAAAACGAATTTTAGTTTATCAGTCTTCATATAAAAATTGGCATCAAACTAACTTTAAACGGCTTAAGTTAATATTTTATTAAAATACTTTCTTCTTGCTTTTCTATGTCTACACTAAAAAGGGAAAATATAAACTTAAAAAATAAAATAAAAACCGCAACGTTGGGAACCAAAGATCAAAATAAATCCGCGAAAAAATTCGAAAAGATAATTTAATTGAAAATGTCTAATATTCGATATAAATAATAAATATAGATGCCTAATCAAATATTTTTGAAGTCGGTGCCAGCCGATACAAATCAAAGCACACAGACTTCGAAAATATCTGATTAGGTATCTATAGTAAATGAAAACTACCAACCGGTTTATTTTTTTACTTTTTAGGGGGTTTTTGAAGTCAGTTTTTATTTTTACTTTTTAAATTTGTAAAGTTTTGTTAACCACACAATACTTTATCTTAACGTAGCTTGGCATTGTAGAGATCACTGAGTCAATCTAAACCCTTATTGCGATGCATCAATCAACGTACTTTAAATTTATGTTACCAGATTTTTTTAAGTTAGTCCTAAATTGGAGACCGTATTATTCATATTGCTGATAATAATTGCTTAATTGTTCTTATCATAATAATGTATTACGAAAACAAAAAATTGAAATCTACGGATTATACAGATAGTAATGATAAAATAACGCTAAGGTTAATTAGTTGAATAAATTAGTGTAATTTTATTTTTAAGTTGGTAGCCTGAATTTTGATGTTAAGCAGATCGGCTGTGATTTATCTGTGCCTCCTAGTGAGTTTGGTAAAATTTTTTGGACAGTTTTAAATCGCCACTGTGGCAATATAAAATCGATTATCAATGTATAAGTGACTTTAAAAGTAAGACTAATTGTTCTTGTGGGAGGAGAAAGTGTAAGACATTGGCATTTATTCATAGTAAGTACCTAATTTTATATAAGCAGCAGACTATCAAGTGGCTGTACATCCGAAGGTCCTGGTTTCGAGCCCTAGGTCGGCCCAAGTTTAGTTATTGAGTCTTTCTGTTAAGAAAGTCCCAGACCCCAGTAACAACCCGGAGTTGGAAATTAGCGGTGTTTCACCCTCGTGCCTTGGAGAACACCTTCTCCGAGCTGTCGGTCCTGCTCCTTAACTCTCACCGGTTGTGTCGAAGCAGAGACAATATTTGTTGTAATGTCTGTGTGTCGAAGTATCTTTCTATCGGAATTTGAGAGTGAATGGAATAGAGAGTGCACTGGTGTCTGCGCGTATACTAGTGTACTATAATATCTTCTGTGCGCTTAGCTAGTCTCAATGAGGTTGGCCGCCGTGGCTGAAATTGGAATGATCTTACGTGAAATCGGAAAAAAATAGAAAATGAAAATTCTCGATAGTTAAAATTAGTTTCTTTTTTAATCAATAATTTAATGCTGTGGACCGAATAATACCTATGTATTAAGTTAATGGTTTTTGCTAGATCAAACAGATGTTCTATAATTTTTCCTTTCTTTTGTTAGCTACAATAGGTATAATTAATTCGTACGGCAATCAAATATATTCTAGATATGATTTATTTCAAGGTTATTTATCTTAATCTTTAAAGCCGTTCCGTGATTGAATGAAAATCATACGATCCATAAGTTTGCAATTTAATAACCTTATGAGATAAGCATACTTTTTTTAATGAAATATGAAAATGTTTATCTTATTATCTTAACAACTCCAGGTAAATTTCTAAGAAATTAATTAAAATTCTAAGAAATCTATTGTTAACTGACACGCTGGCGTGTCCGCGTTCGTGGAGGGAATAATATACCTATGTATCTAATAGAATTGCCAATAATAATCAAAGGTCGTGCGTGGGTATATTTTTCAGACAAATATAATAGTTCTACCAACATTTTACTTGGTACATTTAAGTATACTTATGTCTTTTCGCGGATTCCCTTGCTTTAAATGCTTTACAGCAATCATGGTCACGGGGAACAAAAATCAAAATAAACCCGCGAAATAATCCGAAAATGTAAGTAGTTTTATTTAAAATATACTTATGTCAGTGGAAAAGAAAACGTGTTATTGGCAACGCCATCAAGCACGTATCTTCTTAAACGAAAAGTGGGCGAACGACTTTATGATAAGTCATGTTTTTCTAAGTGAGAGGAACATGATGGTGAAATTATAGTATACAGTAGTAGATAATTGCCCGCGGCTTCGCCAATATATTTCAATATTAAATTTTTAATGGATGTCCAAACTAAATATTTCATTCGTTTTAATTGGAAAGGTTTGAAAGGGGAGGGTAAGTTTTATGAATTCAAATAATTGTCGTATCGATTTAAAACTTTATGATATAATATGCTAAATCTGGATGACAAAAGATTGTTTTGTAGTGTTTTATAAGTATTACTAGCAGAACCAGCGGCTTCGCTCGCGCAATAACTACAAAAAAAATCTCTAAAGAGGTAGTTTCATACAAACTTTCATCCACAATTTTACTCCTTTATAGGAAGAATTTCGAAATATGCAAAAACACTTATTTATTTAATGTTATTGAAGAGCATTAATACCAAGTTTCAAGTAATTCCTTTCATAAATATTTTTTGGATTGTATTATAACGGGTTTTCCCGTAGAAATTAAATAATCTTTCGCGGTAAAAAGTAGCCTTAGTCATTATCCAGCCACCCAACTATCTGCACACAAAAAATCACGCCAATCCGTCACTCCGTTTCGACGTGAAAGAAGGACAAACAAACAAACACGCTTTCACATTTATAATATTAGTATTGATTACATATATTATTAGTCTAGTATTCAGATTATTGTCTGTACAAACAAATAACATGCCCCATTGAAACTCATCTCGATGATTAGTAAACAAACAACTTCATTAGTCATCGTTTTTTTATTTATGAATGCCATAAGTCCATTAGGTTTGATCTTTTGCCCTTCACTTGCAACATAAGTAATCTCGTATCTTTATATTCGATTTAATTTAGTGTGACATATATTATTTACTTTAGTGTGAGTATATATGTATTTCTAATAGATTTATTAATGTTAATGTTCGTTGTTCTATGACGTATAGGCGTACCAATTGGGTACAATTTACTTCGCCAATGGAGAACACAGAGCAGAGATTGATGGCCGATTTCATCAACATTACCTAAGTTTAAAGGATCCCCTAAGCATGTATAGGGGGCTGTTAGGGGACAGTTTCTGTTTAGGAGTTAGGGGTCACCTAAATGTTAAAATGCCACCTAAATATAGTTACTAGAAATACGGGCTCTGACGATGGTAAAACAAAATTTAATTTAGGGGCTAGTTTAGGGGAACTTTTAAGCTAGGGATCCCATACGTAGGTGGTAGCTTAAGCGATGTTGGTGAAATCGGACATGAGGATAATAGATCTATTAGTTATCTTCGAAAAGGATAATCGCCTTTGATGTCAACAACGAGCTGGTACAAACTTAACGGCTAATTTTAGTTTGTAATCATGTAACCAAATCCGTATGGCCATTATTTTTGTCTATGAGGAAAATCGAACCCGTGACCGTGGGATACAGTGTGAGGCAGACATCTACACCATGACGCATATTACCTATTATGTTTCATTGTTATTATAACATAAAATAAATGTTTATTTAACAAATTTTATTACAGCATGATAGGTCAACTTATTATTTTCTGTGCAGATTATTTACCTAGTAGGTGTTAAGTAATCGCTTATCGCGTATTTACTGTTAATGACTCGGTAACTGTGTGCAGTTACATTGTCTGCAGTCTGACTAGTGAGTCGTCAATAACATCAAAACATCGAGATATATTTCTTTAAGATTAAATAGAATAAATTCTATAATATGTGTACATATATCTGACATATACTACAAGTATTACGTATTTATAAGAAATGATTATTTATTATGTAGGTACTACCTCTTTCTATTTGTTAACCGCATGAAAATCCGTTTAGTTTTTTCTGAGATTTGCCCTTAAATTAGAATTTAATTTATAATTTAAAAATCTTTGAATTTCTAGGTTTTTATGTACTATAATATGCACGTGTTATACATATAAACCTTCCTCTTGAATCACTCTATCTGTTGCTGAAAAGTGTATTAAAATCCGATGAGTAGTTTAAAGATCTAAGCAAACAGACAGCGGAAAAGACTTCATTTTATACTATGTAAAGATATTGATATGTAGTTAGTAACACTAGTGTACTACTATCTCTTTGTTACAGGTACTTAAGAAATTGTAGATAGCGAGATGACTTCCGCCGAAAGGAAAAGTGCTTGGTTGATGAGTTTCGGCTCAGTATTAGTAGTCAGTGGAGCTGTATTACTTGTATTCTGGCCTACTATATTCTTCTCACAATTGAAACGAGTAAGTAATCTTTGACTTTTTTTAATGTTGGAAAATGCATTTACACATACTACCTGCATATATATATATATATATATATATATATATATATATATATATATATATATATATATATATATATATATATAGATATTTATGTGGAACTCATCAGCTAGGAAAGCCATAAAGAACTTCCCTCCGACCCTCCCTCTTAATGAGGCGTCATAGGATCGCTTACGCATTCAATCACGAAGCTCCGACTCTGCCGAAGCAGACCATACAATCAAGGGGTTGCCTCCCTCGGTCCACTCTGCTGTCAGATAAGTACCAGGAGCAACGAGTGCCTCGTTGGTCAGTAATTTGTGTATAGTGTGGGTATATTGCCATTAGGTATTTTATATCCCGTTACTTAAAGTGGTCGCCATGAGGTATTACCATATCTAAGGGCTATTAGTTATTAGTATTCTAACTAGCTTTCAAAAGACATGTAAAGTCCTTCAACAGAAATTTTTCATTAACTATGTGATTTTAATTTGATTTGATTAGAAAATTAAAACCGATTACACCAAAATATTTATAAACTAGCGACTCACCCTCGCTTTGTTCGGGTTCGTCACTAAGTACTTTTTAACGGTTAGTATGGAATAAAACTATAAACAGGCTATCTAACGCAAAAAGATTTTTTTAAATCGAATTAGTGGTTATTGAGATTAGCGCGTTCAAACAAACAAACAAACTCTGCCTCGTTATAATATTACTATAGATAACGCGTATAATTTCCAATTAATTATGTATTCTAATAACATGTTATCGAGCTTTAAATAAAATAAATGTAGTCAGATAAAATCGTCGGTGTACGTGAAGGACATGCTTTAATATTTTAACCTTACATATTTTACTTTTATTTATCTTTTTTAAATTATGCAAGAATAATGTTTGGTAAACTATAGAAGATATTTAGCCAATCCGCTGTAATCCATATTAATATTATAAATGTGAAAGTGTGTTTGTTTGTTTGTTTGTTTGTTTGTTTGTTTGTTTGTTTTTTTGTTTGTTTGTTTGTTTGTCTGTCCTTCTTTCACGTCGAAACGACTTGGCGGATTGGCGTGATTTTTTGTATGAAGATACTTTTTACAGCGGAAAATTATCAAATTCCCACGGGAAAACACGTTACAATATGTATGATCAGAATTACTTGAAACTTAATATAAATGTTCTTCAGTAAAGGTAAATAAATACGTGTTTTAGCATCATTCGAAATTCATCCTATAAGGGGGTAAAATAGGGGATGAAATTTTGTATGAAACTACTTTTTTAGAGATTTTTTTGTAGTTTTAGCACGAGCGAAGCCGCGGGTTCTTCTAGTTATTGTATAAATATAGTTAACTTTTCTCCTTTGTTTGTCAACAGATTTTTTTAGTAGTTGTTTAATAGCTATTAACGAGTTTTAGTGTTGTCAATAAAAAAATTGGAAACAGTTTTTTTTATATACGAACGAGTACATAGGTAAAGTCCGAGCTTTTTCTCCGCTGTTTATCAACCAATTCTTTTTTGCTTAGTAATGTTTCACGACAGGGCCGGATTATCCATAAGGCAGTGTAGGCAATTGCCTAGGGGCCCCACGCACCGAGCAAAAATTTGAAACATCGAGTGAACATTTAATATTAATAAATTTAAAAAAATTGGTGAAAACTCTACCATGAGGACAATTACAACAGTTAGATTTCTATGAAATCTACATAATAGCGTGATTACGAATATAATTGCATTATGTTAGAAAAATATATAACAATTAGCTAGAAAAGGGGCCTCGAGAATTGCATTGCCTGGAGGCCCCCGACTTGGTTAATTCGGCCCTGTTCCACGAGCTTTAGTGTTATTGATAAAAAAATTTACTATGTTGAATTTCCAGCACTGATGAACTAATTATGCGTAAAATTTGTACAAATTAGCTTTATATAAATAACTCGCGTTAGATACGTTTATAATAAAGTATATCTTAATCCAGGATTAAAGCTATCTCCGAATATGTACCAATTAAACCCGAATAGCACTAACTTATAAACTTTCGCACTTATGTATACTATAATAAAACAGTAGAGGTCGAATGTCTGTACATAGCAAAAAAATGCTTAAAACCGAGTCAGGGGGATGTAAGAAGACAAATAGAACAAATCCAGATTATTTTCAATTTTTTTGTTTCTCTGTCTGTTGGTCTGTTTGTACGGGCTAATCTCCGAATCTATTGGACCGATTTAAATGAAATTTTGCATGGTGGTACCTTATATCCTCGGGCAACATCTTAGATACTTTTTATCCCGGAAAATTAAATAGTTCCCGTGGGAAAGTTAAAAAACTATGATAACTTATACAACTTATGCACCTAATTTAGTAAAATTTAACATTCTGATACCGTATATTGCCAGTCAAACAACAGCTTACTTTTCATCCGGGAAAAATGAACGGTTCCCGTGAGTTCCCACGGGAAACTACTAGATCTACTAATAGATCTCTATTAGTGTTTGAGCCGCTAGTAATATTATAAAATCGTACACAAAAAGCACGCACCTCAATAGAGTACACTGTTATTTAGAATTTTCTTTGACATTTCAATTCTAAAACCTGTTACATAGATGGTCACCGTACTAGCATTTCTCGTGTGTTCTAAGAAACTTCTTGTTTTCGCTTTAATGGCAGAGTGTGTGCTGAAATAAATTTCCTTTACATTATAAACATTACCGGTAAGGAAAAATAATGACTTAGTCAATATTTGTCAACCAATAGCCTTTTTAAAATTTGGTGCCTTGGGTCTATAAGATTGACCGCCCTTTAATTTGTACGTCCCATGTACCTACGAAGTAGAGAGTATTTTCACCTACTTTTTTTCTCACCTTGTACGAATTTATTTACAAACTAGCGACTTATCCTTGCTTCGCTCGGGTGCGTTCCTAAGTGCGCGGATTTTGTTCACAGTTTCATGGGTTTTAATTCAGGTATCTGCCAGCTAAAGTCCCGTCAAAATCAACCCTAATATAAAAATTCCGCATTTGTAACATCCAGGGGACTGATTTTTAAGCACTTCATAAACTTTTTAATATAATACAATTAATTTATATGGATATTGTGCACTAGGCACAGATAGTTTAGGAAAATCTCTTTTATAATTCATAATAAAGTATATATAATATAAGGATAATTTATATTTATAGATAACAGCGAGTTGCCCAGTTTATAAAGAAACACTCCTATGACGATAATAATTATTCAATATTAAATGTATAAATTTTATTTCAGATGCTGATATTAACGCCAGAGTCAACATCCTTTGGCATTTGGAAAGACATACCCATACCTATGTACCTCGAGATCTTTATGTTTAATATTACAAATGTAGAAGATATTCTGGCGAAGAAAAATGTATCGATAAAAGTGGAGCAGATTGGCCCTTACGTGTATAGAGAATTTCATAAAAAGGTATGTTTCGATTTATGTATGTATGTATGTATGTGTGTATGTGTGTGCTTGGTTGTCCACTGGTAGTTTGTTCGTAGTGGGTTTAGTGTTCGAACAATGAATAAATTTTTTTTATTTTCTTCAAATACTTTTTTTTTAATTATGCTGTCAAGTAAATTGGCCAAGAACAATATAATTTTTTTTACGTTTTTATTTTTGTAATAGTGTTGTAACGTTTAAAAACACGTGATTCTCGATAATTAATAGATCGCTTAATGCTGATGATATGAAAAGCCTATTATTTTATTAATCTGTTAAGATTTCCGAGCCACTTGATAATTTCACAATGTTATTGTTATCTTTTATAATATTTTTACGATTATTGGTTTTTATAGGGTTCTGTAAATATGCTAACCTATTGTTTTGTCGGAGATTTTATAGGCTCGATATAGCGACAGACGATAGAAAATAGCGCGAAGTGACTTAGACTTTAAAATCTACAATTCTTATCGCAAACATATAATTATAGTTTTAAAAACCTAAAAACATAGCAACTGTGTTTTATCGGTCTCGTCAAAAAGAATGAGTGAAACGTATTACTGGTAGCTATTTAAGAGTATCCTTATTTACGTCCTGGATGGATCATCAGATCAGCTTTAGACAAACATACTCGTGTGTATATATTACAGAGTTTCAAGTCTGTACGGTCTTTGTGTTCGATCACATTAACATATAACACAACATGTACATCTTATAAACATAGTATGCTTAAATCTCGTATCGATATCGTTTATAGAAATAGTTGTAGTAAGCCTTTGACTGGCTTCATAGAGATACGTTTTAAAGTAAAGGATTTGTGTATGTACTTACTTAGGTCTATGCATAGGTCTATGACCTAACAACGCGTCCATTTGAGATAACATGGAAAGTCATTAATAAAATAAACATTACAATGTAAATTATACATCCTTGTTCATACAAGGTACGATACTACACATATCAAAGTTATATAAAACTTAAAAGCTGTACATAACTTGTTTTTAAAAAGCATCATTCCGAAAGCCGGAAATCATAGGTAATACCGCTGGATACCTTGGAACACGTATAAAAATTTGGTTTATATTTAACATTTTTTTTATTCTTTAAAGAATGTAAACGACCTATATAAAAAAATCGAGAGTAGTACTATAAACAGCTAAACACGCTTATAATTTTGATTTTGACATTTTTTATGGCGGGCTCCGTTTATATAATTTTTTTGTCTGAGTTCCATGTATAGATTTTACCTTTTATCTCAAAAACGTTAGTCAGCGTACTGAAAGTATTATTATGGATCATTGGCTTCTTTATGTCTGTACTTTTTTGTATTCTGCTGTCACAAGTCCGTCAATAAGTGTTATCTTTTTGAAGCGAAACTTCTTTGAATCGTTGCGATTTGAAACTCGATGAAACGGAAATGCGACACTAAAAAGAGACAAAGACATAAATATATAGGATTAAGCCGGCGGAAGAATGAGATAGAATACATTGCCATTTGCCATGGTGACCATTGTTATTGTCTGATAAATATATAATATTAAGTTTCACTTCTATAATGTGTGAATTACATACATACGTACTTTTTTTAATCTGTGTATAATGCACCTTGATATTCTTCATACAATTTTTTATTTTAGGTACATGGATGAAAGTCTTGTAGTTCAATTAATCTATTTATATATATATGCATTGGAATTTGATTAGTTGTTCAGATTTTGCTTATAACGAAATTGAGTTTAAGATCAAGGATTTCAAACTAAAACGTTGTTTTAATTATTTTTTCATATAGAATTTTATATGAATTTTAATTATATTAAAATGAATTAGTGCTACCCAGTTTCTTTGTATGGGAGGGTGCATCTGTACTAGTATAGTATTATGTGATCTGTGATATTGACTTCGTAGTTAAATATGATTGCTAAAATTGTTAGTTGTTAATTTATTCAAAGCAGACTAATCAAATTTATGTTTTAAAATTGAAAATGAGTTATTGCAATTTAAAAAAATATATTGTAATAGCTTATTACTAAAATGATTAGTATTTATTGCGAATGAAAAAAACACCTACAGAAAATAATCGTGCCAATAATTTTTTTCTCACCAGAAAAATATAACTTGGAACGACAATGGTACTGTCACGTACTACAACGAAAGGATCTGGCACTACATGCCTGAGATGTCGAACGGCAGCCTGAGTGATATTATTGTTAACATAAACCCAATAGTGGCGGTAAGTGCTCATTTAATTTGATTTTTATAATAATATTCAAAACTAGCATAACTCGCGGCTCCGCCCGCGTTCAGATGACTAAAAACCAAATTCTTTGGTTTTATATATTAGTATACTTCTCACATTGCAGTTTTTGTGTTTTTTCTCAAAAATGAGATATTTTCCCGCGGTAAAAAGTATCCTATATGTTGACCCGGATAACCAGCTATCATCGTACCAAATTTCATTAAAATCCCTCCAGTAGTTTTTCCTTGATGCGGTCACAAACAGACAGAAAGACAAAAATTCTAATAACTATAAAATCGGTCTCTATATCGATAATAAAGTCTATTTCAATAAGATTTTCTAAAAAATATTGAATGTACAGATTCGCCTTAGTTACAATTTTATTGTATGTACAGATTTGTTGTGGAGTAAGAGTTAGAGAATGGTTAATACTGTTATTTTTTTTATTATTTTGTATAGTTATTCATTATTTTAAATCGGTTTAATATTTCAGTAAAAAGTTTTTATACTTGTTAATATGAAATAATATGTAAAATGAAACAATGTTTTTCACCAGCAACAACTTTTATAGTATTAGAGATTTTTGTTTTGAATTTGTATGGTTGCTGTGAATTGATGAATGGTTGTCGTGAAACTGATTTTCTAATATGGCGGTACAAGTGGCTACCATATATGTATGTATATGCAAAATGAGGAATCTCAAAAATGTACGCCAAATGCCAATACTATTTTTTAAAACCAATCGAATAACTTTGCATAGGGCTTATGCATAACGAATTGAAACGTCATCTGCGCATATTATGCACTGATAAATTAAAAAAAAATGCATATTACTTTTGCTCGTATAAAAGTTATCGTGTGCATAGAGCTTTATATAAGGTTTTTTTAAGGGACCTTAAAAAATACTTAATTGTAATAAAAATTATTTTTTAGACGGTAGCATACATAATGCGTTTCCAACCCACAATATTTAAAGTGTCAGTCGACGTGTTCATGAGAATGTATCATGAAGACATGTTCCTCAAGGCGAATGTGTCTCAGTGGGTTTTTGAAGGCATCGACGACCCCATATTGGATATAGCTCAGCGGTTCCCAGAATTACCTATTAATATACCATATGATAAGTTTGGATGGTTTTATACGGTAAGTCATCGTTGCTTTAAAGTAATATTTTTTTAATTAATTTATATCTATAAATGTTGTTTATTTTTGCGCCATTTTGTAAAATAAGTCTTGATTAACAGTTAATGTTTTTTTAATTGGCGTTAAAACAGTTCTAAATAATATATAATATATACACATTACACATGTTACGTACATTCATATTTTACTTTTAAAGATTTTTTATAACGATATTACTTTAGATTTTTCTACCGAGAGTCTTCATACTATTATTTATTCATTTCGCAACGCGATGCTCTTTGCCCTATGACCTTTGCTGAATCAGAAACTATGTGTGTCACAGCGTTGATAAAAAAATAGTTCACAGCTATTATTGTTGCGCCTATAATAGTTTTATTTATAACGGCTTACGGGTTTCTTTATTCTAATTTATATGACGTATTTTAATTGAATATTTTATTTAACGGCATTGAGCTATTTATATTTTGATTAAAATTTACATAAAACTAAAAAAAAAAAAACATTATTTATACGTTTACCTAATAGGTTGAAAAAATTGAAAAAATACTAAATCAAAGTTATCAAAATTGGCTGGTAGTAAGGAGATTTTCTTACTTAGATAGACTTCGCCACTGATACATAGGTATGATGAGTTCTATATGCCTTACTTGAAAAATCATTGATTGATTGCTTACACATTATACTTAGTAATTGTTTCGATATTCTCGGCCCATTATATAATTTTCGTACGTTCACTTTCATATGTAATTTTATTGTTTTTTAAAGACTTTAAAGGCGCTTTTTTATTAACAACCGATAGTTATATATAGAAAAGTTGTCAGAATCGTATGTATATAAGTATATGCAATCTTCTCTCTTAAATACAGGCTAATGTGTATTGAATGTCAATAGGTATATATTATCAAGTCAATCTTAATTATTTCCTTGTGTTGTTTTGTCATATCCTCCATTTGTATTACGCTATCAACAGACAATCGATAAACTTTTATCTATTTCGTTTTTACAATGTAATTTGATTATTTGACGACACGTTTGGCTCAGTTTGTAGTGACCCTACTTGCTGCGCCAAAGGTCGCGGGTTCGAGTCCCGCTAGGGGCATACGTTTGTGTGATGAGCACGAATGTTTGTACTCCAGTCATGGGTGTTTATATTTATAATATGTATGTATTTAAAGTTATATATGTATAATGTATCAACTATCTGGTATCCATAACACAAGCCTCGTAGCTTACCATGGAACTAGATGGCGCTGTGTGTTAATGTCCTGACGTTTATTATTATTATTATCATATTCAAGTATATTTTACTTTAGGGACATGTACAGAATGCATGTAATTCGAAAATAGTCATAGTATTAAAGAAAACAAAATCTCTAATCTGGGCTCGTGAGAGCAACTGCGGTATGCCATATAGCTTCTATCATGTCGATGTCCATATAATTGAAGAATTGCAGTTTTTGCACTTGTAAAAATCACTTGACAAAATGTCGCGATTACGCTTGTTTGAAATGAAGGCTATCTACTGTCTGACAGAATATTTTGTATTGTAATCAGCTTTTTTTGAAGCTATACTTATTTTGGTACGTTTAGAAAAAAATATGAGAGTAAAATTTTTAGGGTGCGTGTGCACATTGACAGCCAAAAAGCGACATGATGAAGTTAGTTGTATTCTTTTTACAAACAGATAGTTGTGACATGCGGCATGAAATCTTTAGCTATTTTTGTTCAGTTAAAAAGAAGTGTAACTTCTTACGTGCGTACATTAAACTTAAAACCTTCCTAACTCGGTAAATTTTTACCGGAGGAAAAAAGTCATGAAACCTTTTTGATGTAAAATTTTTAGCTCTACATATTTTTATCAAAACTTTTTTGTCTCACTTTTACAGTTTCAGAGTAATTGCGAAAAAACACTTTTGACAATTTTTTTTAACCCTCGCCAGGGGTTGCAGGCCCGAAACCTTTACACATCGTTTTTGTATCATTAAAACTACATTATATCAAAAATACGTTAAAAGTTGAGTGCCAACATTTTGCTTTCAGACCTTATTTGACTGGACTATACGTATAATAATATTAAGTTACGCATTTCTAATAATTAGAAAGTAATAATGATAGTTGTAATTTAATATGTGATGGTGTTATTTTTATTGTACTTGGGTGGGTACTGGGATTAGATTTGGTTTCTTAAAAGTCTCAAAAGTCGACTAGTAATTTATATTATATCACTAAATAAAAGTGCTAATACCTAAGCAATGCAGCAATCAATTATTACTATAATGTAGAGATCTTTCGATTGGAACGACGTACTTTCGCTTATTGCGTTAGTTTTGCACACTGCTACGTCACGCTGGCTATAAGAAAAACTTAGGTTTATTTCTTTGAATGCTAAAGGGTTTTGATCGTTTCGAATTCTCATTAAAAAATAATTAATACTAGCGACTCACCCTCGCTTCGTTTCTGTTCGTTCCTAGGGATGTTTAACGGTTTAGTATAGATTTCTCAGAGATGAGATATTTTCCTGGAGTAAAAAGTACTTATCATATATGTTAACTCGAATAACCCGCTATCATCATACCAAATTTCATCAAAATCTGTTCAGTGGTTTTCTCGTGATGCATTCCTAGACTGACAGACAGATAAAAATTCTAAAAACTATAGATACGGCCTCCGTATCGATAATAATGACTATTTTAATAATATTGTCCAAAAAATATTTAGTAGTTTTATAATATGTATAGATAAAGGAAATTAGAAATCATACAAATAGAAATAAATACGAATAGTTTAAATAAACTATAATTGGTTATTCTGTGTAAGTTACTGAAATTTTGTCAAATTTTGCCAATTTTGTCTTGAAAAAATTTAAGCCTTTTGGTACATATAATCAATCATCATCATCATCTTCTTCTTCTTCTTCTCCCTGCCCATTTCCCAATCACTTGGGGTCGGCGCAGTACATCTTCTGTACTGCTGATAGGATTTGGCAGAAGTTTTACGACCGGCCGCCTGCCTGACGTCAACCCTCCTTGGGAATCAATCATATTAATAATTAATTGATTTAAGATAACTTTCATAGATAGGTGCATCATATAATTTCCTGCTTAAAGCTGGTTTTGATGTATTACGTATAATGGTTAATTATATGTGATTATGACTCATTAACTTTTCCCGTTTTTTTATTGATAACATTTAACCGATCTATATAATAAAAAAAACCAATGCTTCCACAATTTCCTGCTTTATAACACTATTTCTCACTACCATAGGTCGGCTGGAAGATATCTCTTCTAGAGATAAGTCCACCTTTACAAACAATAATTGTATTTAAATTACTGTATTGATTTTTAAGTGCAATAAAGAATAGTAATAAAGAATAGTAATAATCAAAAAATCACAAGATTTACTTTTAATGGTTACTTACTTTATTGTCTATTCCATATTTAGGACAGTTTTAGCATTTTCAAGTGTTGTTTTACTCATATTATTATGCAAGTTTGTTAGTTAAGCATTTATTATCTTTAACAATGAATGCACTTTGAGCTTTAGGGCCATACGCAGAAATGTATTCCGAGACCTGTTACAATTTCATCTAACCTGTATTTACCTGTCATTGTCACCGTAATTATAAATAAATTAAACAAACTTTATGATAATATGCGTATTTATAAAGGATTTTTTATACGTTATAATTTAATATAGTTTAATAATCTTATTTTACCGACCAACCTCCTTCATGTTTCCTCCATTCTATATGACATTGGCGAAATAATCTGTGCCCAATATGCGCTCTTTAAATCTAAAATTGAATTGAATTGAATTGAAATTATACGCATTGCCTAATATAATTATAGAAACTAAGTATAGAAATAACATCTAAAACAATATTTTCATATTATAATGAATGTCATAACTGTCATGTCGGCAATATCGCAAAATTAAGATAAAAGCAGTAGGTCAAAGGATACGCAATATATTATTATGTATGATATAGATAGGCATAATAAATGTCAACCTTGTGTAAAACAAGTTTTTTTTTGTAATTAAAATGTATGTCAAAAATTATTGATATATTCATAGAAATTTATTGATTTATTGAAACATATATTAATATATTCAGGTAAGGACTGTATAATAATAGGGATTATTAGAGATGATATAATTGTAGAAATGACAATAGAACAACAAATAAAAAATGACATCAGAGTTTAAAGTCTGTAACAGTATAAGTTATTATTTCAATAATTTAAACTTGGAAATTAAATTTTAACTTGGAAAACATGAATTTTAGATTATTTAAAAGTATGATTCGTAATATATATGATTGAATTACTTACTTTGGAAAAATTTAATGAGACAGAGTATGAGAGTCGACTTGTGAACAAAGGTATTGTTAAGTAAAAAACCTGTGATTTTCTTTGCAGCGTAACGGTTCCCTAGAGTACGACGGCGTATTTCTCTTGAATACAGGAGCGATGGACTTTTCTGAGTTAGGAAATGTGGAGAAATGGAGGAACTCAAACAGGACGTACTATAGGGACGAGTGTGGGGAAGTGAGAGGGTCGACTGGGGAGTTGTGGGCTCCTGAGCTGGGCCAGCCAGAAGTTACAGTATTTGCACCAGATATATGCACGTGAGTTATGTTTCTCTGGTACTTTTTTAGGGTTTCGTACCTGACGAGGAAGAGTTGAACCCTTATAGGGCCACTTCGATGTCCGTGTGTCTGTAAATACTGTTTGTTTCAGAAGCGCGAAGGTATAAAGTTGAAATTTATATCAAATACATACAAAGGGTCTATGAGCCCTTGAGCTGTAATATTCTCATATAATACATATGAGAATATAACATATTCGGATCACGCGATATAATGAATAGATATTATGTTACATCTCAACACACATTACTTTTCTATTAGCGATGTCGATTGTAGATTATCAGTCTTTTTACACCGGCTGCCGTCTTACCTTGCACCTCCTCCGGTACTAACAAATTGTTAATATGTGAATTTACAGATACATGAACTTGGCTAAATCAAAAGATGTCAGGATACAAGGTATCGACGGAGTTCTTTACGCTGCCAACGAATCGTTTTTCGACAATGGATATCGCTATCCTAGGAAGGTGAGTTACATTGATGTTATTTTTATTGAGTTCAAACCGCGAGAAAATAGATAAAAATAGTTAAGAAAAGATAGTTTTATTTATAATATTGACGTAAATCTAAGAAACTTTTCAATAGACTGGAGCGAAAAAAGATTTTTTTTCTGAGCTTGGGGGTAGAATTTGTAGCTTATAAAAAAAAATTTTTTTTGAAAAAAAAAACAATTTCACTGTAATAGTCAAAGAATTAATCTGATGTCATGCTTACATGTTTTTTAATTATTCATTTGTGGCTTCTAAAAAATTAACAAAAGATAAAAAATAGATACAAAAAGTTATATCATGAAGAAAGATAGAATCCAAAAAGATAGTTTTATTTAAAATGAATACATCAACAGTTTGCAGATTAAAGACATATGTTATTTAAATAAACAAACAAAAATACCTAGAATTAATGCTGCCCAATGTATTTATGGGAGCATGTGTACCTACAAGTATAGTATTATGCTATCTGTGGTAATGGCGACAAAATTAAATCAATTTTTCCGTGACCACGGCTGTTGTCAAAAGTTCGGGAATAACTTATTCAGCCCCTCACTAATTCACGCGTATAAGTCCCGTAGTGTAATTTGTACTATATTATAATATTATAAATGTAAAAGTGTGTTTTTCTGTTTGTGATTCTTTCACGTCGAAACAGAATTAGCGAGATTTATTGTATATAGATAGTTGGAGGAATGGACAGTGACATAGGATATTTTTATGTGGGAGGTTATCTCATTCCCACGGGAAAATACGTTATAATACAAACCATGATTGATTTAACATATAAACTTTTATCCCCATTTTCACCCCCTCAAGGGATGGTTTCCGTGATAAAAAGTTTTCTATGTCCTTCCCAGGGTCTCAAACTATCTTCTTACCAAATTTCATCTAAATCGGTTCCATAAATTCAGAGATTACCCCCTACAACGTCACAAACTCACCAACTTTACCTCTTTATAATATATTATTACTATAGAAAATAAAAAAAATTAAAATGAAAAATTCCCATACGCCAGGCATGTTACTGCGACGAAGTGCGTGACAACAACTGCCTGCGGCCCGGCGCCCTCAACGTGTCCATGTGCCGCTACGGAGCGCCGGCCTTCGTCTCGCAGCCGCACTTCTTACACATGGACCCGTACTATGCGAGTAAAATAGACGGCCTCAACGCTACTGAGTGAGTTTTGTATTTGTTTTTTACCCTACTACGACGAAGCCCAAAGGAGGGGTATGACTTATGTGTTTGACCTGTATGTATACAATATGTCTCCGACTGCATAATACTATATTCCTTCATCAACTTATTCTTTTTTGTTTGATTTTTTACGCAGTTTTTTTTGTAAATTAATCTTTATATTTTTTTTATTGACTTTCATAAAAAAGGGTGTAGTTGATTTGGGTGTTTATTTGTTATGGCATTTTCTTATTATATATAAATTGTACCCCTGTGGTTGGTGGGTGTAGTAATCATATTTGAAAGTAGCTAAATAAAAAACAAATCTTTCCCACGGGAACCGTACATTTTTGCGGGATAAAAAGTAGCCTATGTGCTCTTCCAGACTGTAATCTTATCTCTGTGCCAAATTTCATCCATATCCATAATCTATTCTGGCGTAATTGAGTAACAAACATCCATCCAAACATCAAAAGTTTCACATTTATAATATTAGTAAATTATAAGATGATTCTGAAGTCGAAGTACTTTTATTGAATGATTTGTTATCCACTTATCTAATTTTTTCTACTATTAAATAAACGAATTTTTGCTTACTTGTGTTATAATACATTACTACAAATACGCTTCATTTAAAAGTTATAATTTCATTTTCTTTACAATCCCAAATGATATTTATTTAACACAAATACCGTTACTAATTTTTTTTTATAAAAAAAAACTTTAAAAAATATTTTTTTTTTCACTTAACTATATTATTTGTTTATAATTTAGTTATTTTGATGTAAATTTTTAATATATTACAGAGACATGAACTTCCAACTCGCTTTGGAGATGTATACGGGAATGCCTTTGACAGTTTCTGCGCAGTTACAAATAAATCTACTCATAAGACATGAACCTGGAATGTCGTAAGTGTTTTTTTTTTATTTAAGTTAATTTATTAAGTATCTAAGTCATTTTAAATAATAGAGATTAAGTATATTGACCATGATTGCTGTAAAGTGTAAAGCATTTGGAACGTCGAGAACCAAAATTCAAAATAAATCCACGAATTTAATAAAGTATTATTTAAGTTATCTTTCGTGTCATTCACCAGCTTACCCCCCAAGTCAAGCGTGCGTAAAGAAGTTTTACTTTAAAAATAATAATTGTCTGTTTTGATTATAGATTAAACAACCAACTTCCGGATCCGGACACGTTAGTTCCGATGTTCTGGTTCAGACAGGAAGTGGTCATAAACGACGAATACGCGAGGTTGGCGCGAACAGCTCTAAACTGGCGTAGCGGAGTGCCTTATGGACTGTATGCCTTTACTGTGAGTATTAGTTATATACATATCAGATAGAAACTATCCTATGCCCTTCCCAGGGTTTCAAATTATCGTCATACCAAATTTCATCTAAATCGGTTTAACAGATTTTTAGTTTATCCATTACAAAGTTACAAACAAACAAAAAATCTTTTTTTCTCTTTATTAGTATAGATATATTGGTACGTATACACGCCTTTTTAACTTTCCACTGCTGGGCACGGGCCTCCCTTCAATACGAGGGGGATCAGGCCATAGTCCTCCACGCTGGCCAAGTGCGGGTTGGCGGACTTAACATGTCTTTTGAAAACTTGCTAGGTTCTCTCAGACATGCAGGTTTCCTCACAATGTTTTCCTTCACTATAAGACAAGTGGTAATCATATTGGAAATCATTCACACATGAAAATATCAGAGATGCAAAATCAAAGATTTGAACCCGCTTCGCTTTGTTTCCCAAGCGAACTTTTAACGTTACCACTGGGCTACCATAACCGTACACCACGTACATATATTATATATTTTAAAAAATACACATATTTATACAATTGTACACATGAATATACATAAATCTATAATAATTATGAGTTGTAACCATATTAAAACTAATACACTTCAAAAAGATAGTAGATGAGACCCACGCCCAGCCGTGGGACGTTAAAAGAACTCTACTGGCTACTTTTCCAAGGCTCTTCGCTATTGAGAATTTCTTGGTGGAAAAACCAAAAAACTAATATATAAGTACATGTCACCCGACAAATTGATAATGTAACAAACATACAGACACTCAACATATTATGTAATATGACATTTCGAACCATATTTGTCTAAACAAAAAAATTAAAACGTACCTAACGTTTTAATTTTTTTGAGCTAAATCCTAATTCTTTTTCTAAAATAAAAGTAACCTATGTTACTCCCTATAACATCAGTTATCTTCCAGTGAAAGGCCCATCAAAATCAGTCCAGCCGTTTTAGAGATTATCCGGAACAAACAGACAGACAAAAATTTGAATATTGTTTTTTCTTATAAGTACTGTATATAATTTCATATGCATTTAGTAAAATGCTGTTATTTTGACATTACAAACAGACACTTCAATTTTATTTATCTGTATAGATTATTAGTTTAAGAAAATTGTTTAAAAATCTTTTTTCTTTCTAAACACACATATATATACATACATATAGCAATAGAAACTTTTGTTTTACCAATTAAAATATATGGTGGGTATTTTGACTTAAAAAAAAAATTTATAAGCAATTCGGAAATGAAAGTAATATTTGGATGCTATAGCTATATGACGAGGTGGCCGAGTGGTTAAGGCGTTGGACTGCTAATCCAATGTGCTCTGCACGCGTGGGTTCGAATCCCATCCTCGTCGATCGTTTTTTATTTTTTTTTTGTTTATATTATAATTTATGTTTTTTAAAACTAGTAACATCACGCGATTTTATGTTTGAGTTTAATTATTTTCATTTTTTTTTATAATTGTTATTTCTTTTGTTTACAACGACATGTATATACAATTTTATTTTATATATGTATATATTTGCTTCATGACTTGATATGTCATATATATGTTTTAAAATATAGTTTGTATGAATATATTTTTTTGTATAGTATTTAAATTTTAAATTAATAAATATAGTCAATAAAACGGACATGGCGATAATTCTACCTACTATAATGCTTAATTGCTTGAAACTTTCTCTTTTAATGTATGTCCTATTTATATTATAAATGCGAAAGTTTGTGCGGATGTCTGGATGTATAGATGTATGGATGTTTGTTACTCTTTCACGCAAAATCATTTAAATGGATTTTAATGAAACTACAATAGTATATAAGCAATGTTGAATAAGCATTTTTTCCTTATAAATAAGAAAATATGTTGGGGCATTAACACACAGGACTATCTAGTTCCATGTTAAGCTTCGAGTCTTGTGTTATGAATACCAGATAGTAGAGATATACTACACATATGTAACTTTAAATAGATACATATTATAAATGTAAACACCCATGACTGGAGTTCAAACATTCGTGCTCATCAGACAAATGAATGCCCCAGCGAGACTCGAACCCGCGACGCTGGCACAGAAAGTAAGGTCACTACAAACTGAGCCAAACGTGTCGTCAAAACTATTGTAATATGAAAAAGTGGTTTTTTATCCATTTTACTGCCTATTATTATTTGAAAAATTGCCTTAAATTCTATACGGATAGCGCCGTAGGCAAAAACTAGTGACATTTATAAAGTGACTCACTATCGCTTCGCATCGGGTTCGTCCCATATACAAAAACAAATCTTTCCCAGGAGAACCGTACATTTTCCAACATGATATATAGCCTTTAATAAACGGGCTATCTAATGCAAAAAGAATTTTTAAATCGATTTAGTAATTCCTGAGATTAGCGCGTTCAAACCAACAAACTCTGCCTGCTTATTATATTATTAGTATAGATATATAAGTATACTAGCGACTCGCCCTCGCTCCTCTCGGGTTCGTCCCTAGGGTGGACCACCCTTATCACTTAGGAGTATGAAAAATAGTTAACATCCTATTCTCAGACCTACTGAATATACACACAAATTTCATAAGAATCGGTCAAGCCGTTTCGGAGGAGTGTTGTTAAAAACACACGTGTGACACGAGAATTTTATATATTAGATATACACCTTTGAGTGGTCATTATAAACAATTATTTATATGTTTTATTATTTTCCAGGTAATCGGAGTTGCATTATTGGTAGCTGGTATTTACATACTGATGAGAAAGTTATTGAAAACGACAGACGCTACGCCAATATTAGAATCGCCACACGAAGACATACGTTGATTTTTTTAGATATACTCGTATAAATTTTAAAATAAATTTTGTTTTTAATTTTTAATATTAATTATTTATATTTCAGACGGATTTAAATTGTCTTTATTAGATTGAAATTTTTGAACTCTATAATTGTTTATTTTATAATATAATAGGTACATATTTATTGTTTGCATTACATTGCTTATACTAAGGCAGCCTTATACTTAAAAAATATAAATACATAAATTACACTTGAAAAGTCACCATTTAAGGCCAAAAAATGAAAGTTAATTTTGATAATTTTCGTTATAAATAAGCAAAATCTAGTAGTAGTTGAGTTGGCGAAGTAATCTGTGATTCAAGAGAATTGAATTGACTATTATTTACATAATAGCATTACCCGCGGCTCCGCCCGCGTTCAGATGACCAAAACCTTTTTAGGTTTTACATATTAGTATACTCTTACAATGCAGTCTTTCTATTTTTTCTTAGAAATGAGATATTTTCCCGAGATAAAACGTATCCTATATGTTGACCCGGATAACTAGCTACCATCATACCAAATTTCATCAAAATCAACAGACAGACAGACAGACAAAAAATCTAAAATCTATAGATCCGGCCTCTGTATTGTTAATAATGTCTATTTCAATAACTTTTTTCCAAAAAATATTTAATGTACAGATTCGACTTAGAATTTTATTATATGTATAGATTACGCGACATTGGCGAAATAAATTGTGCCCAAAGGCACTCCTAGAAGCCACGAAACTAAAGAACTAAATTGAATTATTGAGATATAAGATAATTGACAGTTCTTTACAAAATTATTGTTAAGAATTAATACTATTAATAATTAAGAAACGACTTCTTCCACCATGGATGCTGAAATTTGCCTTTTCACAAGCGCTAGTGTGAAATAGCGAGAAGTTTTTTTTTTTTATTTAAATCCGTCTGCTTTTAATAAATAGTTAAGTTATTATCACTGTTATTACCAATTTGCACTTATTAAATACTAAAGATTTGACTGACTGCTAGATGGAATAGAACCTCTGTGGTAGCTGCCGCCATATTGATTTTATTTTTTTTTCAAATTCGTAGACAATGGAACTAGTATAAATGCATAAAGGATACTTAAAAAATATTGACAATACGATGTGCCTTAAAGCGTCAAATTTCCCAGATTTTAGAAGTAAAGTTCGATCATTAAAATAAAATTAACTTATTTTATGCGTTAGTATATAATTTTTCAAATCATATTTCGCAGCTCAATTTAAAATACTTTAGAAATGTGACACTTTAAGGCACTAATGTGATGCTCTCAAGTGTCACAAAACTTTCATTCATATTTAGTTTGATTAAGTGTTATCTATCCATTTATTGTCAGTTTCACTAAATTTAGCAACTTAAAAAAATGACGATTATAACTTTTACAAACTTTAATTTGAAGGGTACAGGTAAAGAACAATGAATCACAATTTATGTTATTATTTTTTATTTTATAACAAATCTATGTCTATGGTACTAACATTCCCAACCACTGGTCTTTACAAATACTCAACGGATATACCGGACGGATATACCGTTAAAGATGGAGGTTTGTCCAAAAATCTACAATAGGAAAAAGTTACTGCATACTTTGATCTCAATAAAAATATTATAGCTTCTAAACCTTGAATTGCCTTTTTCTCATATTCTTATACATTAGAACATTCCCCGTTTTTTGCCTGCACCTTTCATTTTGGTTTAACCAAATATATTCCAGAAAGAGTTCAAGCTTATAATAGCTTTATTGTACTTATAATATATATTATATATGTATTGTTATAATATTATAATAATTTTATTATTCTTACATAGTAATTGAAACAAAATAAGAAAAGATTACATATTAATGAAATTAAATTGTACGTATGTTTTGAGTATACAAATATTATTTGTTAACACATAAGTTTTAAATAATAATATTTTTTCATTTGTTATAAACATATATATATATATATATATATATATATATATATATATATATATACAGAGTATAAAATATATAAAAATATTGTTAGGTAATATATAGTGAGATGGTGCTATACGTTTTTCTCTATACGTAGATAGGAAAATTATTTTTGAAGTTTTACTTCTTTTGGCGCGTTTGGAAAAAAATATGAGAGTAAAATTTTTACGATGCGCGCGCATACCGACAGCCAAACAGCGACATGATAAAGTTAGCTGCATTCCTTTTACAAACAGAGAGTTGTGACATACGGGATGAAATCTTTAGGTATTTTTGTTCTGTTACGCCAAAGAAGTATAACTTCTTAGGTGTGTACATAAGTACACACACACGTTTTTTTGTTAATTATAGACATTAGATAATTAAATCATTTTTTTTAATTAATCAAATTATATTTTGTTATATCGATTAAATGTGCACTTGAATAAGTAATCGGAAAAATAAATAAAAAATGTTAAATGTTATAGAAAAATATTAGTTTGTTACGTTCTTTTTAAATTATTAAGGACTAAATATTTTGTATCTATATTTTTTTTTTATTTAACCATTTTTAATCAAATGATATTATTAATTTTCTGTTGCATAATTGTTTGATAATAACGTTTTTTGTAAAACATTGTAAATATTTGTTTTTTTTTTAAGTCTAGTCCAGTGCTTACACTGTTCATGTTTTTTTTAGTAATATTAAATTTAAATTAAGTTTTTAATATATTTTTTAATCATCAATTATTTTTAACATTGAACGTTGCCAATATTATTTGATTTATTAATGCGATTTGTTTATTAAAATTCGATGGTCGACTCAATAGAATTATTGTTCTAAAATATTCAGAACTGTCATAAAACAAAAATATTAATTAATTCAATCCATATAAGAATTTTAGCCTTAAATATTATTTATACTATATTTTAGCAATATATTTTGCAGTGTTTCAGTAAATAAGGCTTCTATCTAACGTGCGTTTTCTTAGTAGTAGCGAGGTAATATAATCGTGCGATTAAAAAAAATTATGTGCCTTTCCTCTTGTAAATAAAATATAAATTATTATAAATAATGATATTCAAATCGCAGGATGCGTGCAGTTAGGTTGAGGCCTTATGTGTTTATAAATCTGTTAACCATTAGATATAAGGCCATGTACATATTGTACGAGACTGTTTATAAATGAATGGAAGTTTGATTTGTTTTTTTTAATATATAAAACCTTCGTCGTTTATTATTTTAGAAAATGGCTGTATAGAAAACAGACATAATGTTTTTGATATTACCTTAATACATGTAGATTTAATAGTTTTTGTCTGCGGTGTTTGTCTTACCTCCGGATTGATTTGATGGCGACCAATCTCACTGAGACTAGCCAACGGTTTAGGAGATTGCACAAGTATATGCGTAGGCACAATTGCATTCTATTCTTTTTCTCTGAAACTCTAATCCGACGATACTTCGTCACTCGCGATGATAGTAAAGGCGCAGGACAGAGGCACGGGGGTGAAACACCGCCAATTTTCTAACTCCGGGCTGTTACTGAGAATATCTGAACAGTACAACTCATTTAAACTTGGCCCGACCTTTTTTTTAACGTTGGGAAATGCATAAATTTGGCCCGACCTGGGACTCGAACCTAGGACCTCTGGGTCTGCAACCAGGTTATAATCCACCTTCAATCCGATTCCGAATGTCAATCTCAATATGGTAGAGCCGTTTTAGCATGAAGTAACAAACACACTCAAGTACTCACAAACTTTTGCTATAACAAATTATTAGGTTAGGTCGATTTAAATAAAAATTAAAAATACGTATTTATTGAAGAACTTTATTTTTTTTTATTTAAAAATTTTAAATTTAAACTATTTATGTGTTTTTATTTATGCGCAATCATTATTCAATATTAATTATATTATACATGTATATATAATATGTGCCTTACAGGCTTTACATAGGTCTTTTTTTGGAGATCATTTCTTAGATGTACATATTTGGTAGACATATCAAATATAATCTTCAAAAACCTATTAAATATCAATGAAATTCATAAACGAAAATGAGTTTCTTACTAACTAGTATGAAAGAATTGAAAAGATAATTCTTAGAAATAGAACTAAGGGGCCATTCATAAATTACATCACACGCTAAGGCGAGGGGTTGTGTTGTGTGTTGTGTAGTATTGGATTTAGGTTCGATGGCGCCCTAAGCCCAAGTCGATATGGCGCTCTTTTTCTTTCGTAACAGTATAAACAGATTAACTATTTTAACAACTAAATTCTACCCTTGAAATGGTACTATGTTTAGATTGTAAGAGGCATGAAAATAAACTTTAAATTTGGTCTTACAGTTTACAGAAAACCCAATCAATTTAAATTTTAGTCGTCTTAAAAATTTTGAGGCCCGGGCCTCACAGGCCTGAGCCTTAATCCGCTACTGATTGTGTGACAAGGGGGAGTTATAAGCTTCATGAGGTCACATTTCAAAAACTAAAGTATTAAATAACAAAACGTTAACTGTTAACGAAAAATTTTAAAAAATGTTCTTTCTTATAAGCATATAAGGTTTATATTGGTTTGTTAGCGAGTTCTCGCTGTAGATACCACGTTGTTGATGTTGATATTATTAAAATAATAATTTTGGAACTGTGTTTTTATTGTATTCAGTTCTGGGTGTAAATTGCAAAATATGTGACGTCACACAAGGGGAGGGGGGAGAGGGGTCCCCACAAATGTGACCACCACAAGGAGGAGGGGAGGGTTCAAAAAATCAATAAATACGTGTGACGTAATTTAGATGGCTCCTAATAAGCTAGTTATTTTCTCGCTTTCTTCGTTCTTTCTTTGCTTCGAAACCCGATAAATTATTAAACCGGTTTTGGTCATTGACCTCAAACCGAGAGGCTTTTTGGCTCAAGTAGTAAGTTAAATCCAAGAGAACGGTTTTCGACGAATTTAGGTTCCATGATCAAAATTAACCGGTTAAAATGCGTTTTTGTGCGTTTACATTTGACGCGTCTTCGCTAATGGTGAATGGCTTACTAGAAGGATACATGTACGTTTTTTACTTATGAATGAATTAACCGGTTCATTTCATATCAAAAACTAAATCCAACCCTTCTCTAAGAATAACTGTGAACCATTATATTATTTCGTTTTCTAAACCGTTCATTTTCATTAACCGGTTAAAGAACGAGCGATGAATTAACCATTACCTTACCAAAATATACCGGTTTTTTTAAACCGGTTTTATAATATTATGATTATATTGTTAGTTCACTTTTTTAATTATAAACTGTGTGATCACAATTCGTCCAAAAAAGTCGATATATATGGGTATATATATATCGACTTTTTTACTTTCTAAAGCTCGTATCGATTTCAAACTATATCTGAAATCCAAGGGAAATACAATAATTTCATACCATAAATGGTTATTTATTACTTTATAAAGTATAATTTTATTTATGAAACTATTAAAACGCACATTACACATTTACACTTTACAACTAATATCGATTGGACAACTTTTTTGAATCTTATATTTAAAAAAAACACAAGTGCTTATGAAAATATTTCATTATAATAATTTGGTACCTACAGGTGTTTTACACCAGACATTTTTTTGTTTATAATTCTTTTATTTTTATTTTTATTAATTTTCAACCACGGACTAAAAAATTATATAGACGGAGCATTTCAAAGTCAAAACTATTAGCGTGATTTTGCTGTTAATGCTACTATTCTACATTTTGATATAAAGATCTTTTACTTTATTATATAAAGAAATAGCGCGTATCACTAGGTGCCTACGTTTTAACGATTAATATAGATTTCTCAAAGATGAGATATTTGTCGGCAGTAAAAAGTAAACTAAATGTTGATACGGAAACCCAACTATCATCATACCAAGTTTCATCAAAATCTGTCCAGTGGTTTTCTCGTGATGCGGTCACAGACAGACAGACAGTCAGAAATTCTAAAAACTATAGATTCGGACTATCGATAATAATGACTAAATACCTATTTCAATAAAAAATTCCAAAAAATATTTAATCTACAAATTCGACTCTGTTAGAATTTTATTATATGTACCTATAGATAAGAATAAAATATGAATAATAAAAATAATACTAAATATATTCTCTTGTATTTTTTAAGCATCAGTTCTCTTCACCTTAAAATAATATTTGCTAATTTTTCCTTTTTCCATTATTATTTTTCCATTTTTCCGTCAGCTATTTTAATTTCTCAACATTAACATAAAATAATTTTGTATTAATATTTGTAGGTACTAAGTATTATTTATTATACTTCATTGAAACAATGTTTGACTTCATGTTTAGTTCCATTATACTCTGTATATATTATTTCTTAGTCTAAGTTATTACTATTAGATAAAACTATCTTTTCCGATTAATTCGCGGATTTATTTTGATTTTTGGTTCCCGACGTTTTGAATGTTTTACAGCAATCATGGTCACTGGAGTGACTTAGGTTTTAGACGTCTCAAAGGCATTCGAAACGGCGGGAACCAAAACTCAAAATAAATGCGCGAAATGATCCGAATAGATAGTTTTATTTAAAATGTCAAATATTCGCGTAAATCTAAGAAAGTATTGTTAATATTAATTGATTTTGTATATGTATGTACAATATTACTTATAGTAATACAACATACCTAATGTTACAATATGCTATTACGTACTCGTTACATCAAAATCTAGTTTAAAATCGATTCATTTGTATCAGCAAAGATTAAATGCAATCATTTGATTAAATATCTAATTCATTTAATAATAGGAAAAAAACATATTAACCAATATGAGAGTTTATCCACAATTACAAAATACAAAATATTGTTGTCATAAAATTATTATGTAGTTACTACTATACTACTATTATTATGTAGTTACTACTTACCTATACGAATAATAAAAATTAAATTTGGCCTACTTTAATTAAATAACGACAACAGACAAACATCAATTTTTATTCATATCTATCTATGGCACAATTACTAAGAAAACTTTCGAGAAAAATCTTTTTAGTGTTTACCCATTTTTTATTGACTAATTAAATACTTAAAATCGACGTTCACTTTTTCAGTATTAATATTATACATAATAATAGCATTGCGTGCGGCTCCGCCCGCGTTCAGATGACCAAAAACCAAATTCTTAGGCTTTACATATTAGTATACTCTTACATTGCAGTTTTTGTATTTTTTCTCAGAAATAAGATATTTTCCCGCAGTAAAAAGTATCCTATATGTTGACCCTGATAACCAGCTATCACCATACCAAATTTTATCAAAATCCCTTCAGTGGTTTTGCTGTGATGCGGTAACAGACAGACAGATAAAAATTCTAAAAACTATAGATTCGGCCTCTGTATCGATAATAATGTTTATTTCAATAAGATTTTCCAAAAAATATTTAATGTACAGATTCGGCTTCGTTACAATTTTATAATATGTATAGATTATAATATTATAAAAATACAGATTTCGACCTTTTAGGTACCTATTCTACTTTTTAAGTAGGTCAATTATTTAATTTAAGAACCAGGTTCGTACATCATTGGTTAATATGCATAATAAATAGTTAATTTGCACATCGTTTTCTGCACTTTAACGACAACAAATAAAACGTAAAAATATATAATTATTATTATTCTACTACGATAAATAACAATTTTCACAACACAAATATTTAGATTTAAATTATATAAATTAAGACGCTTAATATATTTGGTAATTTAAGTGTATTTGAGCTTATAATATAAAGTCAATCGACTTCAATTAATTTTTGGTAATTAATATCTTGAACTAGAATTAGCACATTAAAATAACCGTCTAAAGTCAGCATCACAGTATTGGTTTTTCGAACTGTCATGTGAGTTTACAGTTAACTTAACACTAAATCGTGCTTAACTGTACCATTCCCTAAAATCTTCTGAGAGGCACCGCTATCAGTTTCCCGTAACTTCATCATGGCAAACTTTCGTATTCTGTAAATTCCATACATTATCAGAAGTAGACCGATAACCTGTGAACAAATTTTGCATATATTATTAATTCGATATTTTACATCTTGTATTACTTTTTTATTTGTGGTGGTAAAGTTCTATATATAAGTGTTCTTTCTTCTTTCTATTGTTTTTTTCATATCATCTCTATCTCTTTTCTCTTACATAATATAAAATGTGTATGAAAATAGTTAATCAAATAAAACTATCTTTTCAGATTATTTCGCGGATTTATTATTATTTTGATTTTTGGTTCTCTTTTTTGGAACCAAAAATAAAAATAAGTCCGCGAAATAATCCGAAAAGATAGTTTTATTTAAAATGTCATGTCATATTCGCGTAAATCTAAGAAATTATTATAGTTAATCAAATTATAAATGACCAAGTTTTTCTCCACTAAATAATTGTTCCAACAGAAACCTATAGGTACCCAAATGATGGCTCTATGCTACAAATTCGGTACTACTTAAGTCTGAATGATATAAAACACTATTTTTCATTGTTATCTAGGCATCTGCCACTTAAAGTACAAGTTTCTGCTGCTAGAATAGTATAAATCCTTCTTATTTAAAACTTCTTCTTCTCCCTGCCCATTTCCCAATCCCATGGGGTCGGCGCAGTATATCTTCTGTACTGCTGATAGGATACTGATACTTATTTAACACTATGATACAAAATTAAAGTAACTTACAATAAACAAGTAAAATCCATAAGGAAAGCCATATCTCACAGCCAGAGCTGATTTCGCGAAATTGGCGTATTCGTCATTAACTTCTATTTCTTCTCGGAACCAAAACATCGGCACCAACACATCTGGGTCCGGCAGTTGATTGTTTATACTAAAATATTTAAAATACTAATAAGCTACTACATCGCCTATTCGATATATAATAGTATTCACTTGAATGAGGTCACAGATTCGATTCTTGTGTTCGGGTTATGTTCCTTCTGAAATTTTCATTTTACAGAAATTTCATAAATACATAATATATAATTTTTATGTTGAAGAGTTTTTTAATCTAGATGAATTAAATGTAATAATATATTTGTTTTATTATTATGTTATATATTTTATTAACAATAATCTTAGTAATCAACTTGTAACTCATAGCTGTCTGTACATGGAAGATATTTAAGAAGAACTATTATTGGGATCTTTATTAACGCAATAGAACCCAAAACAATGATTTTTAGAATTTTGGTCTGTTTGTCTGTGCGTTGTTGTGTTATTTAAAAGTTATGTCAATTTAAAGAATCACCTAGAGACGAAACCGAGCGAGGCGAGTGTGTCGCTAGTTATAAATATAATTAATGTAAGTGATATTTAGACGTTTGTCCGAACCTATCAATAGATGGCGCTGAATGATGATGATGATGATGTTCTCCTGGCCGATTCCGGCTACGGCGGCCAATCTCATTGAGACTAGCCAACTGCGCAGGAGATATTATAGTGCACAAGTGTACGCGCAGACACAAGTGCACTCTCTATTCCTGTCACTCTCATACTCCGGTGGGACGACTGCTCGACACGACCAGTGAGAGTTAAGGCGCAGGACCGACGGCTTTACGTGCTCTCCGAAGCACGGGGGCGAAACACCGCCAACTTCCCAACTCCGGGTTGTTACTGAGACTTACTATACAGATAGACTCAATAACTAAACCTGGCCCGATCCGGGATTCGAACCCAGGACCTCCAGGTGTGCAGCCGTACATGCTAGCCACTACACCACCGAGGCAGTCATCGCGCTGAATAACATAAGCAAAAACAATAAAAGGAATAAAAAGCAAATTGTTCACGCGGATGAAGTCGCAGGCTGAAACTAGTATTCTATAATTCAACTTAGATTAATTATCCAGAGAATAAATATAAACATACCTTATTCCGGGGATATGTCTCACAAGGGCGTTGGCTTGCAGTTGAGCCGAAATGTACAGGGGCATGCCGGTCACTGGTTCGATGGCCAATTTAAAATTATGTTTCCTTAAATAAAAAATATATACCTATGTATCATTCTTCACCCTTTATTTACTTTAAAAAAATCCTTAAAATTTCAAAATTTCATTAAATTCATTTTGGATAAAAGAAAGTGACATACAGACAAACACGAATGTTTCTATGTATAAGGATATTATTTTTCTATCGAATTTATATAACTTTCAAGTAGCAAATTAAGGAGGTTGTACATTAACAATACTAGCTGACAAGTGATAGTAAATAATAATAATAATAATAAATAATAATTATTGACGACACGTTTGGCTCAGTTTGTAGTGACCCTACTAGCTGTGCCAGCGGTCGCAGGTTCGAGTCCCGCTGGGGGCATTCATTTGTGTGATGAGCACGAATGTTTGTACTCCAGTCATGGATGTTTATATTTATAATATGTATATATTTAAAGTTATATGTGTAGTGTATCAACTATCTGGTATCCATAACACAAGCCTCGTAGCTTACCATGGAACTAGATGGTGCTGTGTGTTAATGTCCCAACATATTTATTATAGTAAATGATACTACAGTACCTCAGAGCCTAAAATAGCAGCCTTATTTACCTCTCCGTATAACGAAACCATATTGCGATACAAAATAGTACAAACAAGAACTGTCAAAGCTATCTATCGAGTGGGGGTGTAATTTTTTTTAATAACTATGATTAAACGTTATTATAAACAAATAAATTCTGAATTAAAGGTAAATTATTCACCCAAATAACTTTCCAACGTACAACGCACATGATGTGTTTGGAAAAAATATGATTCTAATAATACTTTCTTAGATTTACGCGAATATTTGACATTTTAAATAAAACTATCTTTTCGGATTTTTTCGCAAAGATATTTTTATTTTTGGTTCCCGAGCGACGTTTCGAATGCTTTACAGTAATCTTGGTCACTTGATGCCATTTTTGTTCTTTTTTGAATTTATTTTGTTATTTTGTGTAGAAAATTCGAAAAGATAGGTACCTAGTTTTATTTAATACTAGCATTGCCCGCGGCTTCGCCCGCGTTCAGATGACCAAATACCAAATTCTTAGGTTTTACATATTAGTATAATCTTACATTGTTGTTTTTGTATTTTTTCCCAGAAATAAGATATTTCCTCGCGGTAAAAAGTACCCTATATGTTGACCCGGATAGCCAGCTATCACTATACCAACTTTCATCAAAATCCCTCCAGTGGTTTTTCCGTGATGCGGTAACAGACAGACAAAAATTCTAAAAACTATAGATTTGGCCTCTGTATCGATAATAATGTCTATTTCAATAAGATTTTCCAAAAATATTTTATGTACAGATTCGGCTTAGTTAGAATTTTATTATATTATTTTATTATAGCCGGATAGTTGCCCTACTTTTTTAAAAACTCCAATTACATAAAAAATAAGTATCTACTTACAATATGCCCCGTGTATATTAAAACATTGGTCCTTAATCTTTCATTGTGACCTATTTTTTTAAACACAACGAATATTGTTTTCCAGTAAATCCTGTTTTATTTGACCTCTACAAAAGGGGATCGTTGCCTTCTGTGGGGGATAGTTGCCTTATGTTAAAAATGCTTTGGGGGATACTTGCCTCATGCGGGGATAGAAGTCTCATTATGAAATTGTTGCAATTTTTTTGGATTAAAACAAATTTTAACAAATTTTAAAAAACCATTATTAATTATTAACATCATTTAATGAAGTAGTAGGTATTTACTAATCGACTCAATACAACTTTTAAAATACAAATAAAATCTCCAAAACTTTAGTTATAAATAATAATTAACTTTAAAGATAAAAACAATTTGGTAATCAATTTTGACACTAATATTAAAATTAGTGGGAAGGTTATCATTATATATCACCAAAAACAGTTTAAAAATCATCATCACACATATCACAGTCATAACTTTTAATATTCCACATCTCACACAATATTCTTTGAATGATGAACGAGTTTTCTGGAAATACGACCAAGTATGATTTGGATTTAGTATTATTGTAATTTTTACAACATTACAATAATTATCAACTGGAACTTTATCATTCGCTTTTTTTATTTTTTTTATTAATGTTAATAACTTTTACTGTCTTTTCAGTCTCTCTTATCATATTTAATTTCTTACTTATTTTTTTGTACTTCTTAAGTAGCGTTTTCTTTGGCTATTTTTGTATTTAATATGCTTTTCTCATTTTCACTCTCGGAACTATAAGTTTATTTGTCATCCTTAAAGATCTTTTTCCGCTCAGTTTAATTAAATCTATGTTTTCAATTTCAGTTACACTGCGAAAGAAATCGTCATAACTTTTGATCTTTTACTTTCGTTTCGACCTCTTTTCTTCATAATTATCATCTCGTTATCTACTGACTTATTTCCTACTGTCTTAAAATCTTTTTATTTCATTGTCTCCATTCTATTTCTTTTTGTAATGTTTGTTTCTTCTTCTTTATCCTATTTTTCGCCTACCTACAACACTAATTGTCCTTAGGGCAACTATCCGCAAAATTATATGGGGCGACTATCCTTTTCGGTACGGATACATGCCCTTATATTTTGAAAAATAAATAAATGTTATTCGACACTTTAAGGTATATTAATAGGTAGTGTAACTTAAACTTCAGTACACGCGTAGAAGCAAAAAGTTTACTGAATCGACAACTGTAAAAAAAATATTCAATAGAAAATACCATGGACGAATTAGAGACTGGACCTGACATAAAATACAAATGTATGAAAACTAGTTCAACCAAGTGACGCATAACGCACACAAAGATTTTATTACATTATTATAAACACTGATACACAATACAATATTTCTAGTGCTTGAATGTAATCGATAAAATACATATATCGATGAACCAATGAATGACATTTTAGACATTGGTTAGCATAGTCATCATATTTTACATCTTTTAATTTAAAATATCTGTATTTATTATAATAAATAAAAATAAATGAATTAAAGAGGCAATAATAATGTGTCAAATAATAATTATTTTTTAATTTGATTTATATAAATACGATGGCATTGATGGCAACATTCTGTTGGCCTATAATAATGTTAATAAACAAATGAATATCGGGTTTATATTCCATTAATATATAATAAATATTATTGTGTAAAGATTAAAAAAATATTAAGCTAATTTAACTAAATAAAGTGATTTTGTTGATTCTGTTATTGAACTATTTTAATTGGCAATTGATTGTCTCGGGTAGTTTATAAAAATGTGACACTGTCCTAATATTGCTCAGTTATTAATAAACATTTATGAAATTAGGAAAAAGAAAAAGTGATTGCAAATTAAAGTGAGTGTTGGATAGTGAAAGTAAAATAATTAGTGCAAGTGGAAAAGTGTTTTATTACAAATCGCCAACTCAGAAGTTTAGTGCTAAAACATTATTGTTTGATTTTGTGTAATTTATATGTTGAAATAAAATGATCTTTATTATTATTACAATGGAATAATATTCCAAAGTATATAAATGTGGTATAAAATAAAAAATTAAGTACACATACTAATTATAATGTTTGCATTTATATTTTTAATTGATTTAGAAACTATTTTTATTAATTTATTGTCATCAGATTGTAGGCTACTATGATAAAAGTATTTTATATTATTGTACTGTACAAATAACACAATTCGTTCAGTTATTTCGTCAAATATCGATATATTTTTCGACATTGTCAAGCACTAGTCGATGTCAAATGGACTCACTCGACAGTTTTGTCATTTGTTCTGAATGGAATAATCCAGCCCGTTTATGATGGTTGTCACATGTCAACAATACATAGAAATATCGACTATATTTAACATAGTTGGATAATATGACTTTTTATTTTACATTTAATTAAATTTTGTTATAAATAACAATAAATGTAATAAAATAATGTATTTACAAGTGAAAAGAAATAGTGCTGCTTCCGCCGTTATAGTTTTTACACCATTTAACAGAACATTTAGTCATTTTTGGGAGATGTTTTGTTGACAAGTAAGTGCTTGAGACTGACACAAAAAACAAACGACCTAGGCTAAAATTCCCTGGTTACTGACATAACCGTTAAAGGTACGTCCGCTTATATGTCTGGTCCAGTGGTTAATTCGTTCATGGAAAATACATACGAATATAATTTCAACGCTTGTCAACGTCCTGCCGCGGAAAATTTTCGCTCACACGGACAAAACACGTTTACCTAATCCCACTACTGGCATCGTCCTAAGGTCTGTGGAAGAGGCGCTTCAAATTACAGAAGAGCACTAACATCAGGAACATCTCTAATATAGCGTATTGAAAACCGGGGCATGTATCCCACTGGGGCGACTATCCGGGTTTTACCCTATAGATGATTCTAAAATTTTGAAATACCTAGATTTTGATTTTATTACTAACTTTTAATTTCTTACTCACTCATTAGGCGTAAGTCCTTTTATTTTACTAGAATAATACGGATCTATCCCGAAGAAATGTGGTCGTGTCACAAAAGCAGGAGCCCCATACTTGCACGCTGACACGTTAAATATTCCAGGCGGCATACAGTCTTCATCTCTTTTCTCTGCACAGTAGCACCCCTGAATTCATAGTACATAAAATAAATCTCATAAATGTTATTTGTAAGCCAATGAAAATCTGTAAAATATATAAGTGAAACTTCTTTAGAATCATTGTGATTTGAAACTCAATGAAACAGAAATGGGACAATAAAAAGAGATAAACACATAAATATATAGAATTAAGTCGGCGAGAGAATGAGATAGAATACATAGCCATGTTGCCATGGAAACCGTTTTTATTGTCTGACAAATATATAATATTAAGTTACACTTCTTTTTTTAAATTAAAAAAACGTTCCTGCGCGTGATATCTGAGTACAAAGCGCACATTTCCGCTTTGTAATATCGATTTCGAATTGATTGAAGGTGTAAAAAAATAATGAGTCATTTCAACATTTTACACATGATAGGATAACACGAAGTAACCGAATTCCAATAAAGATAAACTTACCATATTTGGGTATTTATGTCCGTTGTCAAATAGTGAATCGTTGGCCGTGAATTCAACTCCTTGCAAACCTTGCTTGACTACTGGTCCAGAGTAAGCTAAGGCCATGTGCCTGTAATTTTTGTTATTATCAATTATTTTTATAATCGTTATGAGAGCAGAGTGAGCCCTTGCTTCGATTTAGCAAGTAATACTAAAAATTTGTAGTTATTTAATAGAATATTTGAGCATTTATAAAATGGGATATAATTAGTTTCGCGCAATCACTGCTATATTTATATATTATACTCAAAAACTCTTACATAAGATGACATTCTATAGTCGTCATCGCTAATAGAAAGCTAAAAATGTATGGAAATGGTCTAAATACGTAATTTTTATATATTACTAAATACTAGCAGACAAAAAAAAAACTACAAAAAAAAACTAAAAAGGTAGGTTTCATACAAACTTTACTCCCTTATGGGATGAATTTTGCAAAATACTAAAACACATATTTATTTAATTGTATTGAAAAGCATTAATACCAAGTTTGAAATAATTCTGGTCATAAATATTTTTTTGTGTTGTATTATAACGTGTTTTCCTGTGAGAATGAGATAATCTCCCGCGATAAAAAGTAGCCTATGTCACTCTCCAACCCTCCAACTATCTCCACACAAAAAATCAGGCCAATCCGTCTCTCTGTTTCGACGTGAAAGAAAGACAAACAAACAAACAAACAAACAAACACACTTTCACATTTATAATATTAAAAATATGGATTCAGTTATCGATTACTATTTTCATTATAGAAAATCAATTTGTCCTAGGGATTTCTTAAATGAAATCTCTAACGAGGATGGAGCATATTCTTGTCTAACTTACGTGCAAAGGTCTGCAGCAAATATATTTATCTCTGGTGGGTTATCTTGTATCGCCCACAGCTCCCCAGTAGTTCCTTTCACTTCACCACACTGATCTCTATATATTGTTCTGTTAGAATTTTGCCACTTATCAATTTCGCCTAGTTGCTTGAAATTCGAGCCTCCTGTGTTTGTAACAAATAAGCCATCGGCATCAACCGATCCATTTCTCTGAAAAGAAGTATTAAATTATAACTACATGATTGAAGGAAAAATTTGATTAATAGAACATTTAAAAAAGTAGTGTATTCAGTATTTCTTTTATAACAACATACATGAACAAGTAAAACTTACCTTATAAAACCATCCAAAGCGATCGAAAGGTATAGTATACGGTAAATTCGGTAAGTGTCCAGCTAGATCTAGTATGGGGTCCGACACACCATCAAAAAGCCATGAAGACGCGTTAGCAGTCAAAAATATATTCGAGTGGTACATTCGTATTACCATGTCTAAAAAGATCTTTAGCATCATTCGATCTTTTCGCACAGTGTAGGCAACTGTCTAAGAAAAACGAGAATTAAGTCTTTATTTAAATCATTTAAATTCTTTCGCTAAATAAATAACAAATAACATTTAGCCTAAACTGATAGATCTCAAACCTTGAAATATTGCACAAAGGTCCTTACACACTTGTGTTTTTTTTTTAAATTCATGTTTCCGTTTCCTAAGCCTGTATATCTAAGATGACTTAACTATAAGTTCGAAAAACGTGTAAGGTCTGTCAACTCACACTTGACCAACATGGTGGACTACGGTCTGATCCCGTATTGAGTTAGGCCCTAGCCCAGTACGGGATGAATACTATAATTAACAATAGTATATATGTATGTATAGTTAATAGGGCTTAATTATAATTTCTTAAAGGGATTAAATAGGGAATGAATGTGTGTTAGGAAGTTCGTCGATTTTGATGGAATAATATGGAAATTGATACTTAAGCTTCACTTGGTTTTGGCTTTAATATTTGCAAGAAAAATGTACACTTATTTAATTAATAAATTAACTAAGTATTTATTATTTGTTTTATTAATGATAAATAATATCTATATTAATAAAAATAAAAAGTCTGTTTTTTGGAAAGCGCATTACTTTTTAATTTTGTATGAATTCATAAAAATTTAAATAGGACAACATCTGTCGGGTAGTACAATATAAAAGTAACAAAAATATACTCACAGCTATGATCGGGTTAATGCTGGTAATTGGATCAGAAAGGCTGCCGTTCGAGAGATGTGGTTGAAAATACCAAAACCGCTGGTTCCTAAACGTCACTGTACTGTTGTCATTCCAAGTTATATTAACCTGAAAAATAGAGAATCTATTTTAATAACTATAGTATACTACTATAAAGTATATACGAATAAGTTAACCTTATTGATGATGTTCTCCTGACCGATTCCGGCCACGGCGGCCAATCTCATCGAAACTAGCCAACTGCACAGGAGATATTATAGTGCACAAGTGTACGCGCAGACACAAGTGCACTCTCTATTCCTGTCACTCTCACACTCCGGTGGGACGACTGCTCGACACGCCAAGTGAGAGTTAAGGCGCAGGACCGACGGCTTTACGTGCTCTCCGAGGCACGGGGGTGAAACACCGCCAAGTTCCCAACTCCGGGCTGTTACTGAGGCTTAATATACAGAAAAACTCAATAACTAAACTTGGCCCGACCCGGGACTCGAACCCAGGACCTACGGGTGTGCAGCCGTACATGCTAGCCACTACACCACCGAGGCAGTAAATAACCTTATTATACAGATAAATAACCTTATTATACTGTATACCAGTAAGTTGATCGTTTAGGGTAGTTTGTTATCTGATGATTTATTGATACCGAAGTTATGCCGGGGATAAAATCTAAATTTTACATGATAATTTCTTTTTTTGAACCAAAAACTTTGACGTTGTAGGCTGTCTAAAAATGAACGTATACGTTCGTGTAGGCATAAAATATTTTGATAAAACTCATCATTCATATTAATATTACGCATATTAAAAATGTATGTAGCGTTTTTGCTTTGTCGGGAAGCCTAGAAGTATTTCTTCAGTTACCGAGTATCTTTTTTCTATTGGTTGTTTAATCAATTTATAGTGAATTAAAAACTGTTTTGGCACTTAAATACGTTGAGCAGCTATCACTCGACATGATAGTCATAGAATATCCGAATCCAAATCGTAGTCGTCTCTCGGAAATGCTCGTTTAAAAATATTAGATACATTGTAATTTGTAACACAATGTCGAATTGTAGAGAAACGTACTTTATCATTTGATATTTTATTGATAAGCTATAAATCATATAATTATGTTTTTTGGCACTACAATTGTACCAAATTTTTTATTTAAATTTTTAAGACATTTTAATCCAGCTAAGAATCTTGGTGGAAGAAGCCCTAAAATACGAATTGCATTATGTTGAGTTCATCTTGATGAGCTTTCTTTAATTCGCAAAGTTGTTACGCAGACAGTTCTTTTAAGTCTGTTTTGTAACACAAATGTTTGAAAGCTATATTGCCTTACCTACCTTTTTACTTAATTCTCTAAAAACGTAAGGACCGAACTCCTGCACATGAATTGACACGTTTTTCCCCGCCAGTATGTCGTCCACGTTCGTGATGTTGAATAGGAAACATTCTAGATATATCGGTATGGGTATTTCTCGCCAGATACCGAACGATGTAGACCCGTTTTTGAGGATCATCATCTGTTGAAAATGCAATAATATATTAAATTTTTGTTTGTTACTTTATAATTATGTAAAGATATCATCAAAAATAAGAGAACCCACCACTGGTGAAAGATTTGTTATACTTTTGAGTAATTTTGATTTTCGGTTACTTGTTTTAATAAAAAAAAAACTGACTTTACAAAACACTCAAAAATTACTGATTGGTAGTTTTCATTTACTATAGATACCTAATCAAATATTTTCGAAGTCGGTGTGCTTTGCTTTGTATCGGCTGGGACCGACCACCTGGGATAAATTAGGTATAGTACGTGGTATGCGTAAGTGCATTTCCCAACATCAAAAAAAAGTACCCCTTGGTGCGCGAATCCAATTTGCGTCAACTCGATTTTTTTAGTCAAAGGTCATAGAAAAAAGTTCGATTGCTTCTTGTATCAATTATGTTAATCTCAATTAAGATGCGCATTAAACTGTAACTTTTCTTATTTTATTATAAAAGAATTGAATAAAATTATTTCTAAATAGTAAAAAAGAAATAATAGGTAACAAACGGTAAGTATAATTTACATGATAGAAGCAAATATAATTCCATCATTATCTTACGGAAGCAATTTCAAGTGTGATTATAACTGAGAGGTTCTAGATAAAATCATAAATTTTATAGAACTAGTGATGTAAGATGACAATAAGATATCATCAAATTATTAATCGCGAACAACATCGAAGAATTTAATTTTTTAGCCTCCGACGCAAATAGAGGGGTGTTATAAGTTTGACATCGATGTCTGCCTGTCTCTGTGTGTGTGTCTGTCTGCGGCATCGTAGCTCTCAAACGAATTGACCGATTTCGATGCGGTTTTTTTCATTTGAAAGCAGAGGTCCAGTAGTGTAAGAGTATCAGGTCTTTTCCAAAATGATGTAAGGCATTTTGATATGATTGCTGGATTAAGTGCTTCACGCGTGCTAGTATAATCGTTAAATGACAATTAATTTGCGTAGGGGTTTTTGTTAAATTTTAAATATTAACAGCTAGCAACTTACCCTACGTACGTACGGTTAGTATGGAATAGATAGTCGATCCTTTGCATTATGAAAAACACAAACAAATCTATGCCGTAGGAATTGCACATTTTTCTGGGATAAAAGGTAACCTATATCCTATTCCAGACTATAATCTATTTCTATGCCAAACTTAATCCAGATCCGTTCAGCCGTTCTGGCGTGATTAAGTAACAAGCATCCATCCATCCAAACTTTCGCATTTATAATATTATATTAGTTAATTAATAATGGAATAAATGATGTTAAATGAAGATCATATAATTTTGTTTAACTTTGAGTTAATTTTATTGGATTATTTTTATAATGATAATAAAATATAACTTACATTTTGTATTTTTGCGTGGAATATTGATGACCAGGTGGCACTGAAGAGTAGTCCTAATCCCACTAGGCCCATGCCGCATCCTATCCACCACTCGTTCTTTTTGCTTACTACCATTTTTTTCCTGAAAAACATATTTAAGTTCAATACTTATATGGTCACTTATATAATATTTTAGCAATCAGGAAAATGAGGGAAAGTACTTAGCGTGACGCAACGTGACTAGGGGACCGAGGGGTCAAGGTAACAACACAAGACGTTCTCGTTTAACAATTTTATACTTTGTATCTTTTCTAATTTCCTGTTATTACCAACAATAAAAATTCATACATTATAATTATTTATTACAATTATTTTTATAACAAATAGACACTGAATCAAAGAATAATACACTGAATAGCAGAAGCTCCCATACCAGGAGCAAAACTACCTAAGTGAGGAAAAAGCCGTGCAAGAAGAAGGTGGACTGAAAGAGAATTTCATGGGCAGTTTATTGGGAGAGAAGAGCTTACAAAGGTAAATTTTGCATGTCGTATTACATCAATAAAAATTGGCTTAAAACTACCATGGATCCGCGTAGCACATAAATTACAAACATTAACATTTTTTAAATATATATATTTTAGGGTTCCATAGTCAACAAGGAAACCTTATAGTTTCACTATATGCGTCCATCCGTCCGTCCCGTCTTTCCGCAGCTTAGCTCAGAGACTCTTAGTACTAGAAAGCTGTAATTTAGCATGGATATACATATTGGTCATGCCGACAAAGTGATAAAATAAAGTATTGAAAAAAAATTTTTTTTTATTTATTATTTTTTTCTCTACACGCAAAGCGGGCATGTTTATTTTGGGACATGTGAAAAAAATCACGGTAGTAGTATATATAATGAAGTTAAAAGGAAAACTATCACAGCTAAGTTGCCTTTACAAGTTTACGAGTTTACGAGAACCCTACGTCGCGCGTGTGCCGACACGCACTTGGCCGGTTTTTTTCTTGTGAAATATACAATTTTGTTCCGATTATTAATGTATTTTTTTTATTTACAATAAAGAAAATTATAAATATACTTAATTATACAAATGTAAACTTAATTATTACAGCACAAGTTATGTCCGAGCGGAATTGTGGTAAGAATACTAGCATTCCACAGCTGAATGGCAAATCCGATTCTTTGGGTGAAAAATGAGCAAGCTCTCCTGTCACCAGTAGAGGCGATAAGACGAGGTATTATGTCTTTTAAGAAGTCCTTAGCACTTTGACTCCATGGGCCCAAGGGTTTCTATAGCAAATGGTATAAAGGTATGATTTTGACTTATGGGAGGCGTATTTACGCAACTTGTTCGATTATTACAATGTGCTTACTTACAGATTTTATTTTAGTTTTAACCTTACAAATTACCTAAATAAAATCAATAAACAGTCTGCCACTCACACTCTACCGATTTTTTCATTTAATCTTCTGAAAATCTTATTGAAATAGACATTATTATGGACACAGAGGCCGAATCTATAGTCTGCCTGTCTGTCTGTTTCACTGTCTGTTTGTTACCGCATCACGGAAAAACCACAGGAGGGATTTTGATGAAATTTGGTATGATGATAGCTGGTATGATGATAGCTGGTGATCCGGGTTAACATATAGGATACTTTTTGCTATGGGAAAATATCTTATCTCTGAGAAATCTATACTAAGCGTTAAAACGTACTTAAGTAATAACGAACCTGAACGGAGCGAGGGTGAGTCGCTAGTATTATATCAAAATTGCAATTTTAAATCCGTTGGTGAAGAAATATAAATGCTTTATTTTTGTAAATAATATAAAACAAATGTCACGTTAATTTGTATAAAATTGCTGATATGAGGAAAACACGTGCATACATTTTCAACATAGGATATAGGTACGTTTTTTTCTAATAAAAATCCGAATTTCCTTAAAACATTGAATAATTTTTTAAGGACATACTTAATGACTGTAAAAAGAATATTTGCCTCCTTATGTTTCGTAGTTAATTAAAACTTCACTTGCACATTTTAAAAACAATATATTACATACCTTATTTTTCAAAAATTACCACTAATTCTGTTTGTTTAAGCAAAATTGTGTCTTGATTATCACTTCTTTGATTAATTCACCAACCCTACATGGAATTTGAACTTTGAACTTCATACACAAACATTGTTTTTGCTAGTAAAAAAATACACTGAATTTCACGTGCGTTCTACTCGAGTCCCTTTTTAATACTCACGGACAGCTTATCTAACATTTCATGGTTAGGCTTAATTCACACTATTGTTTTGTATTTTTTTTCTTTTCTCTATACTTAACAGATTTGAAAAAGAATTAGGTTCTTCATCATCTGCCTCTTTTAATCTACTGTGGGACATAAGTCTCGTCTGGAGTATGCCGTTGGACGCAATCTTAAGATTTGCGCATCCAGCTGTATGGCGCTGATCGTCGCAATATCTAGCAGGAAGGCGTCCTAGACGTGATCACACTCAGAACCTGTTTGCACCAACGGCTATCAATATCTCCTGCAGATACGGCTGGCATACTGCCACTTTAACCTGTTCTGCGAGCGACATCGATTAAACGAGTTTTCTATCTAATAAATTCATTTCTGAATTTCCTGACGAATATCGACCTCCGGATCATGGCTTTCCATTGCCATTGCATTTCCATAACAAATTGTGTGACCAATTCGGTGTATATTTTATTTTGTTTTTTACGGGATATATTCGCGAATTATAGGGTATTACACTCTATATCATAGGGTATTCTACCCTATCCTGAAAGTTGGTCCCATATAAATTTCAAAATAAATACTAACGATGGAATAATATTTTTTAAAGTAATTTTCGAATCGATGTACCGTTTTAGTCTTTAAGTATTAAATTAATATTTGATTTTTAATAATCATTTTCCTTTAACATGTGTTATATAAAAATCCTATTAAATATAGATTCGTATTTAAAAATATATGTAAAGATATATGTAATGGAAATTGGTATCTACATCGATAGCCGCTATTATAAAATACGTATAAAATATAGTAATTATTAAAAGTATGAGTAGTAATGCTGCTATTGCCCAGTAAAGCTACCTAGTTATTTTTTCTTTCTGACCTCATCAATTATTGATTATAAAATATCTGGCTTTAAGATCTATCAAATAAAATCTGAGGGTCCGCAGTGTGCGGAGGCTCTTATTTTACACAGCAAAAAAGACGTTCCAAGGCAAGTCCGTACACTCCGGCCCTATGACACAAAACTTATCAGATAACGAATATTTTCGCGATTATCACAAACAATACTTTTTATCGATAGATGTTTAGATAATTCGGTATTTTGAGTTCACTACATTTCCTTGTATCACTACAACGTGCAAAAAAATAATTTATCTCTTTCATGTGCATTGTAGGTGGAATATCAAATATTCGCGTAAATCTAAGAGAGTATTATAATAGGATAATTATAACAATGGATTGCAAGTTTTAATTACAAAAAATTGATATTCGAGATATTTTATATTAAGGAAACAAAGAAATTTCATCGTTATGTTTGTACTTTTTTGGATTTCACGGGTTCAAAGGAGTCCGGTCCTTTGGAAGGCTTGCGCGTGTCCAACACGTAGAGGCCCCTGAGATTTAAAATTTGTTTAATGTAAGTTTGTTATTATTGTTGTGAATGTTATACATTTATCAATAGTCAAAACAAATAGCTTTCAATCAACTTATTTTCCATACGTATCATATTTTTAGCATTATCCCGAAAATATAAGTCTGACACTCGTGTTTGTTTTATGTGCATATGTTTGTATTTATCTACATAATTCGTTGGCTCACTATTACAAGGTTCTATGTTACAATTTTAGTACTTATTTAGTTATTAATGCTACAAGGTTCTATGTGTCATTAGCTACAGTTTTGCAAAAACAAACCGCTAGATAGCGGTACTATAACTACAAAATATTTAATTTTACATAGTTCTATGTTGTTTTTTTTTACGATAGCAAAATAACGAAGTTCTATGTAAAAATTACTAAACTTCATTAAAATTAACATAGAACCTTGTAATAGTGAGTCAACGATATGTCTCTGACATCTTGGCTCTAATGTAATTTATAAATTGTATTTGTTATATAAGAAACTAGCATCCTGCCCAAATGCGGTCTTCACAAAAGTCATAGAACTCAACTGCAGCGTCATCCACGGAGTCCAGTTGTAAATCTAAAGTCCAAACCATCCAAGAAGTGATGTGATGATGAAGTGAACCATCCAGAAGATCAGAGGTGCGAGACCCGGGATTTGAACTCGCTTCACTCGGTTTCCCAAGTGAGCGCGTTACCACTGGGCTACCACTGCCTGGTGCACTGGTGTGTGTGTGTGTATGCATATGTATATATATATCCATACTAATATTATAAATGCGAAAGTGTGTTTGTTCGTTTGTCCTCCTTTCACGTCGAAATGGAGTGACGCATTGGTGTGACTTTTTATATGGAGATAGTTGAAGGCTACTTTTTACCGCGGGACATTATCTCATTCCGACGTGAAAATAAGTTAGAATACAACCCAAAAAATATTTATGATCAGAATTAATTGAAACTTGGTATTGGTACAAAAATGGCTTCTGGCCCTTTATGGTTTCGAGAAAGGAATGGTACTGCCTTACCTCTTCAGTACAATTAAATAAATACGTGTTTTAGCATTTCTCGAAATTCATCCCATAAGAGGGTAAAATAGGGGATGAAAGTTTGTATGAAACCTACATTTTTTAGAATTTTTCAGTAGTTTTAGCGCGAGCGAAACCGCAGGTTCTGCTAGTATATATATAAAGATAGAACAGTTATATTAATAAATATTTGCTAAGTACGGATTACCTACAAAATAGTGACATCTGAGATCTTAATCTTAATAAGTATACGATATTTTTAATTTCAATCAATTAAAGCTTATCATGAATTGCCTATTAAATTGGACTTTCAGCATTCATTAGTAAGATTAGATTGATCTAATCGATAGTCTTAAGATTATCCGTTATTTGAGAGGCTGTCTGAAAATTTGGTGGTCTTGGCTTATTTGTACTTTGTACGTTTATTTAAGCAAAAATCATA